ATGATTTCGAGGTGCACGCAGGTGGACAGGGACTTGACTCTGGGTCCCGTGGCATGCCCCAGACTCTGACAGGAGGACGATTTTCATATACATTTTACTAATTTTCTTTCATCTCTGACAAATAGCAATATTAAAATATTTCCTCTAATTAATTCCCTTTTAATGTGCACAGATTTTGTGCACCAGGCCACTAGAGTGTGTGTGTGTGTGTGTGTGTGTGTGTGTGTGTGTATTTTAAAGTAATGTGATGAGGCATCTCAGGGGAACCCTACATTACAACTCTTGCTCTCAGGCTATGCCCTTGTTTGGCCTTGGGCAGGACCCAGTCCTGCAGCCTACTCATCCTATCTATATATATAAAAGCCTAAGCGACTGGCTGACCAGCCAGTAGCTATGATACGCACTGACCACCAGAGGGCAGATGCTCAACACAGGAACTGCCGAGCTGTGGTCACTTGACAGCAATGGTTCTCGGGTGACACACCTGGAACCAGAGAGGAGGGAGCCCGATTCCAGAATGTGTCACCTGAGAACTGCCCTCTCACAATCTGGGACCCCTTGGGGGATGTCACAGAGCCAGTTTGGGCCTGATCCCCACAAGCCAGGCCGAGGGACCCCACCAGTGCACGGCACTGGGCCTCTAGCACTGTCTAAAAGAACTGACAAAGAAGAAATTGTCTGGCAAAACACCAACTGAAAGATAACATTTTTCCTGATTTCAAAGCCTGAGGTTTTCCTGGTTTCTACTTTGGGTTGATAGAGAAGAATCAGTTAGTGGGAGCATAATATAAACATGGACATTTATAGCTCCAAGAATCTCCAAGAGGATGTAGTTTGCCAAACTATCCCCTATCATTCAAGTTCAATCGGAACTTGAATAAACTAAAAATAAGTTTCATGAATAAAATTAAGATAGGTTGATAATGTTAAATAAGGATCAGTTAAAGCATAGTCTCTAACTTCTTCTAAACAGAAGACAGCTAGCCCATGGATTACAGTGAGGCAGCTCAATCCTATGTGCTCCTATGAATGAACCAGAGGAAAGCCCCACATGCAGGGCATTGCCAGTAATCAGGATTGAACATGCTGTGGATGCATTGAATATCACAGTGAGAATCAGCACCATCACAGAAACTCTACCATTTCCTGAAGCAATCAAGCGATTGCTTGGGTTGTAGCACCTGTTGTAATCCTTTCACAGGCGACCTTTGTATTGGATGCCAAAAGAGAAATCCAACCCTCCCCACCTTTTTCCTCATTTTAAGATGTTCTTCCTTTCTTCCTCATCTACTTTCCCTGCCCATTACTCTTATCTCAACAAATCTTTATTTTTTTAATGTTCACTAAGGCCCAATAATGATACTTACTCATACTGTAAGCATTGCTGAAATGAATTTTCCAGATCACTGAAGCATACTCCTTTAAAAGCTGGACTACATTTTAAAATTATTTGAATCACTTTGGCTAGAAATTTTTAAAATGTGCATTTGTTTCTTTACTCCTTAACAAAGTACACACTGTAGAACTTGAAACCTTCTTGACCATGCAGACACATCAAACTAAGCATGCCCTTAGGCCCTCTGAGAATTACAGAATGCTCTTCCCAATCTATACACACAGCCCCCGATCCCTGAAGATTACTACTTCATTGCCCGCCTCATTTTTAGAGTTCTAGATCTCCTCTTACTGTCAGGAACAGCTTTACTTTTCTTCACTGTCACTGAATCTCACTTTCACCTTTCCCCTCCCACTCCCTAATCTGTTGGGGGGTGGAGGAGCCAGACTGGCAAACTTGCAGAAAACGTGTCACATAAGGTTTTACGGATATATGTTCACTGGTCTTTGAGTAAGGGCCTAGGACCTCTCCTGTGAGTAAGGTGCACTGGACAAGAATTTCAAGAGCTCAGAGACCCTTTTTACTTAATTCTGGGTTTCTGTGGAAGTGATAAGTAGATGGGAGTTTGACCTCGAGGTACAAAAATCACTGTCATTTGTATTCATGTATAAACATTGTTTTCAGAACAGTTTGTATTCATGATTTTAGGAAGCACTATAGCCTATACTCTGCCATCTATCATCATTCCTCATTTAAACTTTGGATTAAAAAATGAGAAAGAAAAAGGCAAAATCCTGACTTTTATAAGTTAGTGATCATCAAATAGCATAGCTTTCTGAGACATCTCTGTCCTGCCCTTTTCTTTCTCAGCCTTTAATTTAGGACTCTCATTGCCCAGAAGCTAAGAGACTCACATCATCATAAGCACACCAGGTCATTCTCCCTCCTCAGACACCATTAATTACACCATCATTTCAATTTCTTAAAGTGGAACCTTGCTGTCATCAAGGCCTCTTCCCGCAATTTCCCCTTTTAAATCAGGCAATTTCAAGATTCTGGTGCATGTGTTTTTTCCATGTCTAAGGTGCATTTTACCTGCTTCTCATTAAAGCCTTTAAAATGCTAATTCATGGCTCTTGCAGACTTCTGCTTTCCAAACAAGCCTCTCACCTCCTTCTACCCAAATCCATCCCAAATAATAGTGCCCACTCTTTCATCACTGGGCTCTCAATCTCTACTTCGTGAACACTCTCATTGGTTAATTCTCAAAATATTTCTTGCTCTCATGTGAAAGCTATATTTTCATCTTTAGTTCTTTTTATAGTACTTCTTACCACCTACCTCCTCCTGTTCAATTTTTACATTAGCACCTTCCAGTTTTACTAGTATATATCCCATATAGTTTACCAATGGCATTAAAGCAATATGTTGGAATTCTCTCTTTTCTCAAGTCTACTCCAGAGGCCTTTCCCTGATCACACCTTAGTATCTTCAACTACCACTCAAGAAATTTTCTTTTCAAAATGCCTTGGAAGTCACTTTCCCCATTTAATTTACTCAACTATTTTCCCTTTTATGTATTTCCCCAAACTTCCAGAGCAATCATTACCAGATTTTCTTCTGTGGTTATTCCACACACACCTCTGCCCCTCCTCCTTCCTCACATTATAACTGTCAACAATACCAGGTCTGAACTTCTGAACATTTATATGGTGCTATATAGAGTTCCACAAATTCCATTCCCCAAACTGTGCAATTCCTTGGTGTCCTCTCACCATTCTATCATTTCTATCTCTATCATAGCTTTCTGGTTTGGACAGTAGAATCCCCATTTCATAGTAAATAAACTCCCTTCTGCCTTCAACTCATTCAGAAAGACTTCCCTCTGGAAATCTGGGCCTGTCTTAAAGACACTGCTGTACTCCTGGCTCCTGCAGACCTCCAGGAGGAAAGGATCTATCCTTCCACAGGATGGACACCTCAGAGTCAGGAGTGGGGGAGGGTCTACTTACTCCTCAGAGCCACTCAAACACCAACCCAGCTTTTTATGTTGCCAGCATCAGGTAAAAGCTTCTACTCTTCCTTCAAGGCCCATGACCTGTGGCTCCACTTCCTTCCCCTGCTCCCAATCTCTTAGTCCTGTCACAAACTCACTTAATACGCCTGCTTTCCACATGCTTGACCTCCTCATGGCCACTATTCTCTTTTACTTACTTCAGTTTCCCACTTTCTGGACCTCACCTTGGACCCATTCACCCCCTAAGATTACGCCCCTTGCAACTTCCCATCCATTCTGTTCCTAAGGCCCTAACCCCAGTTAGTCTGCTCCCTTACCTTAGAGAACATGCCAATCCATCACTCCTCCCATTTCTCCCAGTTGATTGGCCCATCTGGCTTCTCTTCCTTCCCTGCCCAGCTTGGATTCTGGGGCTGATTTCTAGACTGCTCTTTTGCCAGCACCCTCAGCTCCCTACCAGCAAACCTTTGGCTGGACTTCCTGACACCGACCCACTACCTGGGCAGCCTCCCATTTCCTCTGACCCCACTCTATGGCTATCATGCTCTAGATCCTTGCTTAGGCCTCCTGCAGTCTCAACGGAATCACCTCCTAAGTGCCAGCTCCATTCATCCACTCCTGGTTTGGTCTGCTCCTTTTCCTTCCAAGCTTCCATTCTGAACAGATGACATGCAAACCTTTCATTTCTATAATAACTTAGTACTTAAAAGTGCTTTAGAATATTTGTTATTTTATTCATAAGAAAATCTCTTATGAGGTGGAAGCTCAAGAATATTGTAGCCAAAAGAAAAATTAAGGTTTATGATGTTATGTGACTTAAGCTCTCCCAGTCTCCAAAGAGTGGAACTGATTGGCCACCATAATAATGTGAATATATTTTATTTCAGTCCATTTGAGACACCTATGCTGTGCCCAATTATTCAACATGCTACTTGTGGGGATGACACACTAATCAAAGACAGATAAAGGGATATCACTGTGAAGGCAGGGGTCACCTCAGGGTCAGTTTTCTACATGCAGCCATCCCAGAAGCACACATTCAGTTGACAACAGCTGAGTCAGAGAGAGAATTGACTCCAATCCAAGAGATGCAGAGAAATCCCATGCAGACTAAGCTGCTCTGTGTCCTCTGTGTGGACCCCCACCATCAAAACCCAACAAATGAAGAGGAGCCATGGCACTGGAAGAGCAACTGAGCCCAGCAATGGTGAATCGGGTAGAGAAGAGAGCAATGTGGAACTTACTGTGGGGACTCCTTCCAGACATAATTAGTATGCATTGGAAGAGAAGACTGGTATGTGATATGCTCACTTCTGAACAAAATAAAATAAATCAGACTGCTCCCCTCCCCATCCCGTGCCATCTAGACATCTACGATGTAATAAAGACCCCAAATACAATCAGGTACAAATCCCAAGGGCTATACAGATAACAATAACATTGAACAAAGACCCAAATTAAATTTAAAAAATTATGAAATATGTGTAAGAAAAACCCAAAGGATATCCCTCTACAAATCTTTCAGCTTCTTGCATAAAAGCTGCTGTATTTCATCTGTATTTGTACACATCCCTAATAAAACAAATATTATCTGCCCTAGGATTGCTCACAACAAAAATGCAAATATTTAGCAAAATAATCACTTACCTTGGAGAAGATCAAAAGGAGATCCTCTAATTTTCCATGTAAATCGCCTGGAGGGCAAATGAAAAATCACTCTTCAGTAGGAAACAAGAAAATGCCCATTTTGTTACAGAATTTTACAAACTGAAATATTGCTAATATAATCCAACCATTCTCGGGGCATTGGGTTTTTACCCTGTGATGATATTAATTCCAGGGTGCTATGGAAACTTTGTCCCCTTTCTATAGAGGACAGCATCCAATATTGCAATTATCTATTCACACCTGCCATTTACACAGTGCTTACCTTAGTCTGTGCCAAGCACTGTATTACAGGTTTACATTAATTATCTTGTTCAGTCCTTATAACCACTTTATCAGATGGATATTATTTTCATTATTCTCATTTTACAAATGAGGCGCAGAGTAGTTAAGTAACTTATGTAAAGTTACCCAACTACCAAGTGTCAGAGCTGGAATTCAAACCCAATTTTATCTCATTTCCAAACTAAAGCCCTCATCGATTATTCTGTAATATAATCTCTAAAGCAGCAATAGTATCTATCCTGGCATTAAACACCCATGTGTTAAAAAAAAAACACACCCATGTGTTTCCTCTATACCCAGTGCATAGCAGGAACTCAATAAATACATTTAATTGCTAAATACATAGCTTTTTAAAGCCATGTTTTAAAGAATATGTTCAGGCAGTTGAATTAGAAACTTAAAAAGTATGAGTAGATGGCTCACATTCTTTTGATGAGACAGTTATAAAAAAATTAAAAGGAAAGCATTGCTTTATAAAACTCAGCCAACTAAGGGAAACCATATGAATATATGAAGCCATTAATTAAAAACAAGAGTGAAAATATGAATATTTAAAAGGCCTACTTGGATAATTATTTCTAGGTAAATATTTATCTTTCATAAGCTCTGATCATAAATATTTACTCTTTGTATCCAACTTAATTACCAAATAGAATTTAATTTGGAAAAAAATTTCCTCAATTTGTTTAAAAACCCACAACCAAATTCAAACAAATATATGCAACAAAATACTCCAATTATAATGGGAATGATAAAATTAAAATACTTATCACCAGCACTTATTCATAAAATGACTGTAATATTAACATTAAGAGCATATTAATACTATTGTATACTTAAATCTCATGATTTCATGTGGTCTCACTCTAAATCTAAAAAATAAAAATGGAAGGACTTTTTACTTATCAGTTAAATATATTTTTTACTTATTTTATTTTCCTAATTGGCTTCAGGGTGATTCATCTTTCAAAGATTTGGATAGACAGAACTGTTGAAGCTCTCATGCTAAAAATGAATTGGTTTCAGCATATTAAGAGTAGAGACTATAAAAACATTTTTAACTTCTACTTGGGCAGCAAACAATAAAAGCCATATCATGGAAAGATAGCTACAGAAAGGTACTTCCACTGCAAACAAAAACATGAGTGCAAAATTGGTTATGATTTATAACATAACTGTAGACTAAAACACCTCCTATATTTCTTGTGTGTGTGTTATCCTTGCACAGAGGCCATGCTAACCTTCTCTGTATCATTCCAATTTTAGTATCTGTGCTGCAGAAGTGAGCATAAAACACCTCCTATATTTCATGCATATTGAGAACCATGTAGCATGTTTAGATGTGCATATAAAATATGCATCTGGAAATTAAGATAATGGTAAAATTACATCACAATTTCTTTCCCTCTCCTACTACTAACTTAAACAGAAGATGTTTTTGAAAATATGAACCTAATTTTAAATTTTATTTTAAATAATGGCCAATTTTTATAAGTTCAATGGGGTTATTAAAAATAGAAAATAATTCCCATGCTATGGGAACCTACTGACCTTGGCTTTTCCTTTTACCAATGGTGCTATGTGAGAAAAGCTTAGAAATAAATGCCCCAAATGCAGGGATCATTAAATGAATGGAACTGTCCCATCAATCTATATTCCCTAATCTTTGTCTCACGATGGAAAATGAAACATCAATCAGAGCAGTACATGATGTGGAGTTAAAATAGCAGATATGCAGCTGGCTCTAACTAGAGGGCCTGATTTTAATCCTGACCCTGTCACTAACCAGCTGAGTAAGCTTGGCATGTTAGACAGATGGTCTCTGTAAGAACTTCTCATTGCTGTGATTCCAGGATTCCATGTCCTCCAATTAATTCATGTCTTCTTCCAGATCCTTTTATCCAAAGATAAGTCACAATGGCACCTGGAGGTATACTGAAAATATGCGGGGACAGGCCCTACTCTGTTTGGCCTATTATATACACTCCGAGAGCAAATCTAGCCCTGGCTCCATAGGCTTCATGCATAGGCATGGCTTCCTAAGTCTCATGACTCCAGATCCTTTGTTTCCATGAAAAGTAAGAGTGGGAGAAGCCTTGAATAAAAGGCCCCCACTACTGAGATGCCTCATCTGCTTGGCAGAGATGTGGTGGCCTGATTAGGTTGGAATTAAACCATTGAAGACTCTTCAAAAACCTGAGTCAAGGCATGTCATGAAGTATGTGCTGCTACATCAAGTCCCTGTCACCACTATCAGATGCTAGAAATGGAAATGGTTTAATTAGATTGTCAAATCCACTTCTACCTGCCAGAGGAAAAGAAACACGGGCTAAAAATTGATTTGGAAAATAACAATCACTGTTTTGTAACCTAAAGGCTTAATTAGAAGTTAAGGGAGTTGCTGTTCCTTCCACGCACTCCATTCTCAGACAGTTGCAAGCATGCTGAGAGCACCAACTGTGTTGAATTTCAATGTGTACTGTTTCTTGAAGCAATATCCTACCAGGCTGGCCTATAGGATAACACAATCTCAATCTTGTTATTTAGAAGAACAAGGAACAGATTTCTGGGACATTCCCACTCTTCTAAAAGCTGCAGAGACCAGTTGGAAAAATCTAAAACAGCAGCCAAAAGCAGAGAAGACTTTAATCTCCACCCTGCCTTGGGCTTTTCTCTTCCCAGCATAAGTGGCATGCAGAGGCCCACCTGGGAAAAGCAACATGGAACAAAGATAACGAGAGCTAGACAGAGGGCAAAGAACACTTATTCCACCCATGGGTGGTTTCTGTATTAAAATGCTGCCTTTATAAAAAGCTGTGGGTTCTTTAATTTCTCACATAATTAATTCCTGCCAGCTGGTATGCAAAACAAAGACAAGATGGGGAACAGTATTATCATGATAGATAACTCTATATTAACACTTTTCCCTTAACACAGTCCAATTTATGCAGTTTTCAAGTTAGGCAAATGACGTGGAACCAAGAGGCTCTAAAATATTAATTTGGCAACTCTGCTCTAAAACTTACCACAGATTGTTATCTCTTTGGTGGGACAAGTTCTTATATGAGTAAAATTTGGCATTTGCTTCATGGCTTCCTTAGTTTCGAACAGTATCTCTAAAACATAATAGGCATGGAGTATCTGTGAGGGCAAAACAGAAGAAAAAGATATGACGAACTAGGAAGAAAGGCATGACTGAATAGAAAGCTATAAAGGTGGAGCATATGAACACATTTCAGGTAGCTGTATTTCAGGACCATCTCTAAATCAGTCTCAAATAGATGATTTCAGCACAGTATCTGGCATATAATAATCCCTCACTAGAGATTTGTAAATTGAATGAATGAATGGTGCCTAGGCCATTTATACGCCCATGCTCTTGACATCACCCATTTACAGAACATTTCTGATTATTCTTGGTCAGTAAATTCCAAGAGAAGCGATGGGAAAAATAGGAGACTCCTTTGCCCTAAGGAAGTGTGCAAATAAATAAATAAAAAGGAGGGTAAGGAGAGAGAATGAGAATGAGAAGTAGAGAAAGACTGATGAAGAGGGGCTGCTTTATATTCGTCTGTAACATCCTGCCACCTGGGATGGAAACCAGGTGCTGCATTCTGAGAGATCTCAAAAGGAAGCCAGGAGTCCCGTGTGTGGCTCAATTGTTGGTACACAGATTGTGTGAGTTTACAGAACAGCAAGGATGTTTGTATTGTACAGTCTAAGTATAAAACATATACAAAACCCAAATAAACCATTTGGATTATCTCCTATTATGACCATTCATTCCATTGCTCTCCTCCAATTAAATTCTTGATGACATCATTGTTTTGGACAGATTTACTCTGTTTTCTCCTCTGGGGTTTTTGTTTGTTTTAAATCCAGTGTGTTGTTCTCCCTTTTTTTAATTATAAAATATTCCAAATACATAAGCCAAAAAGTAATACAGCCAATAAAAATTTAACAGATGTTAACACCATTTTATGGGTCAGGACTATTGGCAGTCCTAATATAGTAGCCACTAGTCCCATGGGGCTACTGACCACTTGAAATGGGGCTAGTTGAAACTGAGATATGCTATAGGCACAAAATACATACCAGATTTCAAAGACTTAGTTTGAAAAAAAGTTAAATGTTGCAGTAAAAACTTTTAACATATTAAAATAATTATATATGCTGGATTAAATAACATATATTATTAAAATTAATTTCTCCTGTTTCTTTTTACCTTTTTAATGGGACTAATTGAAAATTTTAAAATATTTATGTGACTCACATTAAATTTCTATTAGACAGAACTCGTTTAGATTACTGAAGGCTGAGAGAGGGGTCATATCTACATATTGTTCAGTTACTGCTTTGAGTATGGAATTCAGGACACATCGAACCCTTTGGAAGAATCATGGTATCCTGAAATTTCCATTTCCCTAGCTACTAAAATAATAAAATTGTTTTCTATCCCAGACCCCAAAAACATATGATTTAAATTTGGAGAATTTTCATTATTAATTTTGTCCAAAGACAGGAATCAGTATTTGAAGTAATGCGAGAATTAGGAGGAAATAGAAGGACTCCTGGATGTTGATGAGAGGGAGAGACCCATCTTTCCTGTCTATCCAAGAACTGGCAGACTACTAAGGATTTCCCCCACAAAAGAATTCTAAATTCTCAGTTTTCTTTCATGAATCTTGTATCCTCCTGTCCCTAGTTAATAATTGTATTAACTAGACATGGTATATGAAAACTTGGAGAAATAACGTGAGGCCTATTTTCTTGCAGAGAGGATTTAAATTTTCTTTTGCCATCTGGCTAGGAGCACTAGCTGTCTAAGATGATATTTCAATCTCAGGAATTAGAGGATTCAAAACTTTGCTTCAATGCCCAGTCTATTTCTAATTCACTCTTATTCCTAAGGTATGTCCTTAGTGTCCTACCTGAGAATGAGAGTTTTGGGGTAACAGTAGAGAAAATAATGGAGTAGGTACCTCCAAAGCCCATCCCTTCACAGAAACACTTTAAAAATATCAAGCAAAAAAAAAATACTGTCATAATCAACTTTGTCAGAGCTCTGGAAAATAGTCAAAATTTATAATTACCAAGCAAAGGCTAAATCAGGAAAAGGCATCTTAAAAATGGCTCAGTGCAAGCAGGTTGTAAAGGCTAAGACAAATTTGTAAACAGCCTGGCCAAGCAGTGAAGGGGTGTACCATATAGACCCTCTATCCGCAAAGGCTGGGTTTTTCTTTTTTCCCTTTTTTAAATAGCTCCTGGGGTTCAAGGAGATTCTGTCAAAACATTAGCTGAACACAAGCTAAAGGAACAGAAACACCAGAGACCACACACACAATTATACCTAAAAAATATCTATAGAATGCTCCACCCAACAATCACAGACTACACATTTGTTACAAGTGCCCATAGAATATTCCCCAGAATAGTTCAGATGTTGGGCCACAAAGCAAGCCTCAATAGCTTTTATTTTTAATTGAATTTATTGGGCTGTCTTTCTTCAGATTGTATAAATCTTTTGCCTCAATAAATTTTAAAAGATTAGAATCATGCAAAGTATCTTCTCTGACTATAATGAAATGAAACTAAAAGTCAGTAACAGAAGAAAAACTAGAAAATTCACAAATATGTGGAAATCAAACAACATTGTCTTAAACAAATGATGGGTCAAAAAAATCACAAAGGAAATTAGAAAATACTCTGAGATTGCCCTGGCCAGGTAGCTCAGTTGGTTAGAGCATCATCCTGATACACCAAGGTTGCGGGTTCAATCCCCGATCAGGGCACAAGAATTAATCAATGAATGCATAAATAAGGGGAACAACAAATCTCTCTCTCTCTCCTCTCTCTCTCTCTCTCTCTCTCTCTCTCTCTCTCTCTCTCTCTCTCTCCACATAAATTTTTAAAAAGAAAATAACTTTGAGATGAATATGAAAACACAATATATCAAAACTTATGGGATAAAGCAAAAGTGATGATTTCAAATGAAAAGTCTCACTTAACACTAAGGAGTTAGAAAAATAAGAGCAAACTAAACTAAAAACTAGCTGAAGGAAGAAAATAAGGATCAGAGTACAGATAAATTAAATAGAGAACAGAAAATCAATAGGGAGAATCAACAAAACCAAAAGCTGATTCTTTGTAAAGTTCAATAAAATTCAAAAACCATTAGCTACCTTGACCAAGAAAAAAATAGTGAAAATGCAAATAACTATAATCAGAAATGAAAGTGGGGACATCCCCACTGACCTTAAAGAAATAAAAAGAGCCCTGATCAATGTGGCTCAGTTGGTTGGAGCATTGTCCCATACACAGATAGGTCTCGGGTTCGATTTCCAGTCAGGATATAGGTTGCGGGTTGGGGCACATACAGGAGGCAACCAATCAGTGTTTCACACCTCCACACCTCTCTCTCTATCTCTCTCTCTCTCTCTCTCTCTCTCTCTCTCTCTCTCTCTCTCATCAATGAAAGCATGTCCTCGGGTGAGAATTTTAGAAAATAAATAAAGAGAATTATGAGACTATCATGAACAATTGTACACAAATAAATTAGATAACTTAGATAAAATGGACAAAATCTTAGAAACATACAAATTACCAAACCTGACTCAAGAAAAAAACAGAAAATACAAACAGATCTAGAACAAGTAGAGATTGAATCACTAATCAAAAACCTCCTAACAAATAAAAATCCAAGACCAGGCAGCTTTATTGGTGAACTCTACTAAACATTTAAAGAATTAACACCAATCCTTCTCAAACTCTTGCAAAAAAAAAAGAAAAAGAAAGAAAAGAAAAGAAAAGAAAAGAAAAGAAAAGAAAAGAAAAGAAAAGAAAAGAAGGAAGGAAGGAAGGAAGGAAGGAAGGAAGAAAGAAAGAAAGAAAGAAAGAAAGAAAGAAAGAAAGAAAGAAAAGGAAATAATTCCTAAATCATTCTATGAGGTCAGTACTACCCTGATACCAAAGCCAGGTAAAGACATCATAAGAAAACACAGATCAATATCCCTTATGAATAAAATGCAAATCCTCACAAAATACCAGTAAATCAAATCCAACAGAATTTTAAAAGAATTATACACTATGAACAAATGGGGTTTATTCCAGGAATACAAGTGTAGTTCAACATATGAAAGTTAATTAATGTAATATACCATATTAATAGACAATGTGCTGCTTGCATAAGGATAGACACATACACCAATGGAATAAAACTGGGAGTCCAGCAATAAATCCATACATCTATGGCTTATTAATTTTTGACAAGGGTACCAAGGCCATTCAATGAGGGAAAAAGACTTTTCAACAAAAGACTCTGGAACAACTGCATACTCATATGCAAAGAATGAAGTTGGACAGAAATTAACTGAAGTTGTACACAAACAGGTAGCTAATGGTTTTTGAAATTTGTTGAACTTTACAAAGAATCAATGAAAATGGTTCATTGACCTAAATGTAAGAGCTACAGCTATACAATTTTTAAAAGAAAACATAGGGGTAAATCTTCATGACCTTGGATTTGGCAAGGAATTCTCAGATATGACACCAAACGCACAAGTAACCAAAGAAAAAAAATAGATAAGTTGGACTTCATCTAATTTAGAAAATTTTGTGAATCAAAGGACATTATCAAAAAAGTGAAAAAGCCCAGCTGGTGTTACCCAATGGTTGAGCATAGACCCATGAACCAGGAGGTCATGGTTTGATTCCCCATCAGGGCACATGCCCAGGTTGCAGGCTTGATCCCCAGTGGGGGCGGGGCATGCAGGAGGCAGTCAATTGATGATTCTCTCTCATCATTGATATTTCTCTCTCTTCTCCCTTCCTCTCTGAAATAAATATATATATATGTCAAAAGACAACCTTAAAATGGGAGAAAATATTTGCAAACCATGTATCTGATAAGGGATTTGTATCCAGAATATATAAAGAACTCCTACAACTGAATAATAAATAGAGAAATAATCTGATTTTAAAGAAGGCAATGGATCTGAATAGACGTTTCTCCAAAAAATGTATAAAAATGTCCAATAAACATGAAAAGGTGCTCAACATCTTTAGTCATCAGGGAAATGCAAATCAAAACCACGAGGAGATACCACCTCACACACAGCTAAGATGGTTATAATAAAAATTAAAAGAAACAGAAAATAATAAGTGCTGGCAGAATAACTGGAGAAATTTGAACCCTCATGCATTGCTGGTAGGAATGTAAAATGGTGCAGTTGCAGAAAATGGTTTAGAAATTCCTCAAAAATGAAAACAGAGTAACCATATGACCCAGCAATTCCACTCCTAGGTAGGTATAGACTCAAGAGAAATAAAAACATATGTTCATGCAAAAACTTATACATATGTTCATAGCAGCATTGTTCATAATAGCCAAAAGGTAGAAAAAAATCAAAAGTCCATCTATTGATAAATTGATAAACAAAAATAGTATAGCCATACAATAGAATATTAGTCAGCCATAAAAGTAAAAGAAGTAACTAAACATGCTGAGACATGAATGAGCCTTAAAAACATCATGCTAGATGAAAGAAGTCAGACACAAAAAGCCATATATTATATGATTTCATTTGTATGAAATATCTGGAATAGACAAATACATAAAGACAGAGTGTATAATAGTGGTTGCCAGGGGTGGGGGAGAAAGGAATGGTAATGGGTATGACACTTCTTTTTGGGTGATGAAAACGTTCTGGAATTAGCTATTGGTATTGGTTGCACAATCTTGTGAGTATATTAAAAACCACTAAATAATATACTTTAAATGGTGAATTTTATGGTGAATTATATCTCAGAAAAAGAAAAAGGAAATGCCATAAGCAATGGACAGAGAGGAGGTTTCTGTGTACCTGAGGATACTTCTTTCAGTGGGTTAAGCAAAGCGCAGGGTAGCTTTCACTTGATGTGAAGGTTTTCCCCAAGGGAATGCATTTCTGCTGTAGTGTTTTCATTCACTCATTCAACAAATAGTCATTGAACACTTTATGTACAAGAATCAAGGCAGTATATATACTTCCACTTACCTGCTGCTTCTTAAAGGCCTCAATCATTATAGTAAGAGAATTAGTATTGAGTGGAAATTGCAGCCGAGGACCACTATACGATTCTGGGACCTCTATTATCCCTATACATTCCTGTCTACCCCTGTCGTCCTGGGGGGCGCAACCAAACAGCCGATTTACTAAAGCTGGAAAAAACAGAAAGGGTGGCAAAAATCAACATTCCCATACTTAAATACCTTCTTGAATGTCTAGCCCATGTAAGACACTGTGCTAAATGTTATGAATACCGTGATATCCCACATATAACCATGAGGAATGATTTGTTCTGAAACCAGTAGGTACATGCACAAGAATCACCATCATCCCTTCCTGGGTGGACATTTTACCAAATCAGTAAGTTCATCAGTAGGGAATGGAGGGATAAGCACAGGGAAAACTGATCACTCACGGTATTTTGATGCTTTGAAGCTCTAACGCTACATTTTTTTTGTCTATTCTTACATCTCAGATTTTTACAAATAGTGTTGAAAACATAACAATGCATTATATTTGGTTTAAATATCTGCTACTATTCATGATATACAGAAAATTAAACTGCAACATTTAATTTTCCCCGTTAAACACTTCAAATTTTACTTAGCTGTAATTGATTTGTCTCCCTCTTCACATAAAAACAAATTTTCTGACATGATTTTCTTTTTGGTAACAAAACAGATAAAGTAAGATGACAAACCATCGGCACAAATTCCAAAGGCCCTCTCTCTCAGAGACACAACTGTTCATTTCAGTAGATGCTGAGATCCAGTGTCCCTTTCTTGCTAGATTGCCCATAAAATGATCAGCTCAAGAACAGAAATCCGGCCAAATCAGGTGGGTAAAGATGAAAGGGGATATCGTAGTTTGATTTTAACAGTGATCCCAATTCTCTATCCCAAACTCTGACCATGCCCTTTTTAATGTGATTTTGAAGATTCTATTTCCCCAGCCCTTGAAGCTGGTTTGTGACTTGTGTTGGCCTAAAGAAAGTGGTGGAAGTGTTACATACCAGTTCCAAGCCAAGGCCTCACAAGGACTTGTTTGTTTCCATGCTCTCGCTTTTGAAACCACGCCACTACTATGAAGCCCTGGCTAGCCTACTGAGAGCTCCAACACCATGGGGAGCAGAGCTGAGTCACCCGAGCCAAGGCCGTCCTAGATCAGCCACCATCCCGCAGACCTCCAGACACAAACGAAGCGAACTCCACCCAAAACCCAAAAGACTGCCAAATCAAGACTAAGAACAGCAGACGTGCTCGGCTAATCTGTAGACTGATGAGCAAAAAGAAATGTTTATTACATGCCACTGAACTATTGTGGTTGTTTAATACACAGTATTATTATAGTAACAGATAAGTGATACAGAGGATGATGACATACTTTTCAATTCATTAACACTCAATTGCTACTAAGGTCATTAATCAGAAGTTGTCTGCAAGCAGTTTCTATCATTTTGAATATTTAGAGTAGACATGTTTGCCAGGTGGGTACTGGAAATATTGGGAGGAACACTTTGTAAAGTATATAAGGCTGGGCAAAAGTAGGTTTATTGTTATTCATATGGAAAAATATATAATACAAGAATAAAAATACTGTTTTATGTACTGACAACTATAAACCTACTTTTCCCACCCCTGTATGACTGTCTAACCAGTATGCTATACTTCTGAAATGAATACAAAATGATATTGAATATAAACTGTAATTGAAAAAGAAAAAAAATATATATATATAGTACCTGGTCTGATAGGACATTTTGGCTAATGTTGGAAGCAAGAACAAAAGTTAAAACAACACTTCCACACACTCTGCCCCACTCCCACTTCTAGCAGTTTCTGATTAAACCTATTCTATGTATAGTAGCTTTGGCTATCTACCTGTGGGAGGGGACTGATATGAAAAAGCAGACTCGAACTGATGTGTGGAGTCTCTCCATCAAGTCCTATGAATTGCTTTTGAGCAACTAAAGCAATAAGACACAGAAAAGATCTGCTTCCAGGTCACCTCTTACCTTTGGAACACCCAGAGTCCTCGACATACTCTGTGCCTCAGAATAAAACCATTGATCTTCAAATGTGAAGTGTAGTTGTATCCCTAAATATACCTTACTTAGGGGTCAGAGCACTTTTGCCAAATAGGTGTAGGTAGAGCTTGTCTGGGACCCTCCTACCAAAGAGGGCCATTAGAGAGCAACCTACAGTAATGTACAGCATGGTGACTCTAGTTAACAATACTCTAGCAGTGGTCGGCAAACTGCAGCTCGCGAGCCACATACGGCTCTTTGGCCCCTTGAGTGTGGCTCTTCCACAAAATACCACTTGTGGGTGCGCACGTACAGTGCAATTGAAACTTCGTGGCCCATGTGCAGAAGTCGGTATTTTGTGGAAGAGCCACACTCAAGGGGCCAAAGAACCACATGTGGCTTGCGTGCCGCAGTTTGCCAATCACTGCTCTAGTGTATATTTCCTGCAAAGAGAGTACATTTTATTTATTTATTTAATCATTCATTTATATTTTATTATTTTATTTTTAATATATTTTATTGATATCAGAGAGGAAGGGAGAGGGAGAGAGGGAGAGAGAGAGAGAGAGAGAGAGAGAGAGAGAGAGAGAGAGAGATCAATGATGAGAATCATTGATTGGCTGCTCGTCTTCTACTGGGGATTGAACCCGCAACCCAGGCATGTGCCCTTGGCCAGAATCAAACCAGGGATGCTTCAGTCCACAGGCTGTTGCTTTATTCACTGATCCAAACCAGCTAGGGCAAGTTCTCAACACACACACATAAAATTGTAACTAAGTGAGGTGGTGTGAATAAGTTAACTAACTTTATGGTGGTAATCATTTCACAATAAATACATAAATAAAACTATAACATTGTACACTGTAAACTTATACAATATTATATGTCATTTATATTTCAATAAAGCTGGAAAAATATTTAAATAAAATCAACCTACAGCAGCAATCTATAAGTTTCTTTTTCTGCTATATACAATAATTAAATCAATATGATTCTAGCACTCTATAATTGTGAGATGTATAAGAGAATAGATGGCTCAGAAATATGTCTTATTACACATTTTTAAAATAAATATATTATGAAGGAGGTACTACAAATCATGGTGAAAAGATAAATTATGAATGTCTGGGAAAAATTGGTTAACTCATTTGAAATTTTCTTTGTAGTTGTATTTTTTAATTGTTCTCAATCACTAGGCATCAAAATTTCCTTTTTTAGTTTAATATGAAAACATTCAAAATTTATAAAGTGTTAAATTTTTTAAAAGTCAAACCATTAAAAAATCTAAAAATACAGGCATAGCAATCACATTTTAAATATTTCAGGGCCTTCTAAGTTTAAAAGCAGAAGGATTCACAAAGAAAAATATATTTAGATTTAAAAAGAAACATATTTTAAATAATTAATGGATGAAAATTTTCTAAATCTGACAAAAATATAAATTTAGATATCAAGAAGCTCAAAAAGCCCATGCAGGATAAGTAAAAATTAAACCTTACCAAGGCACGTTATGGTTAAAATGCTATTTTCCAATGTTACTTAGGTTAGGCTTTTTTCTTCCCTACCTCCTTCAGGTGATTATGTTATCATTTGTAATATAGTCATGTTCATTTGTCACAGTGTGTATTCCATTTTGGGAACATATACACACATATAGTACACTTTCTGTTTTTAATTATATTTTTAGGGATGTGAAACATTATCATGGTTTTAAGAGTCAGAACTACAAAAAGGTACACTCAGAGACATGTCACTCTCCCCTCATCCCTTTACCCAATCCTCATTCTCCCATTCCTTCTTTCCTGCTCCCACCCATCTCCCCAATTACCTGTATGTAAACAATGTCATTACTTTCTTGTTTATCCTGTAGGTTTAGTCTGTATTTATGATTTCTTAAACAGGATAGAGAAACCACTAATCTAAAGAAAAAAATTGTACTACAATGAAATAAAAAATTTGTTAATGAAAAAAGACCTTTTAAAGACTGGGATGGGGTAATAAAAGACAAAGACTAGGAGAAGATATTTGCAATACATTCACCTAACAAAGATCAATGTTCTTATTATTAGAATACTTAGAAAATTCACACAAATTGCTAAGAAAAAGACAGGCAAAAAACTGGATCAGGCACTTCACTGAGCAGGATGTGCATGTGACTGATAAACATACAAAAACGGTGAGCAATTTCACTTCTCACCAGGGAAATGCACATTAAAGTGGAAATGTGATACCACTACATACTCACCAAATGGTTAAAATGAAAAGGAGACACAATTACAAGTGTTGGTGAGGCTATGGAACAACTGGGACTTTCATACACTGGTGGCAGTATCACTTGGTACAACTTTGTAAAACTCTGTCAGTATCTAATAAAGCTGAACATATGCATGCCCTATAATCCATCTTCTACTCCTGAGTTGTGGTATATCTTTATAGTAATGATCCCCATTGAAACATGCCTCCTTGTATCCATATCCCTTTACAATATAATGCTGCTGCTGCTCCCTGCAAGAGATGGAGCTTTCCTACCCCCTTTGAATCTGCAGCTGGCCTTGTGACATGCTTTGACAAACAGAAGATGGCAGAACTGATTTTGTGTGTGTTCCAGAGCATAGACCTTAAAAGGCCTTGCAGTTTATGCCTTTGATCTCTTGGAATCCAGCTGCCATGTAAAGAAATTCAGGATATCCTGTTGGACAGACAGGCTGCATGAAGAGATTTAAGGTGTCCAAGTTCATAGCTAACACCAAAAAGTCCCAGGCATGTAAAACCATTTGGACCTTCCTGTGCCACCCAGCTGGCTTGAGTGAGCCCAACTGATACCATCTGAAACAACGACAAGTCATTATCCCCACTGAGCCCTGTTCAAATGCCTGACCCACAGAATCATAAGCAATAAAATGGCTATTGTTTTAAAGCCACCAAATTTTGGGGTGGTTTGTTATGTAGCAAAAGATAACTGAAAATGAGTACTTAACAAAAGAAAAGAATACATATGTTTACCAAAATGGACATGTACAAGAATATGCATAGCAGTAAGTAACATTTAAATTACCAAAACTGAAAACAACTCAAAAGTCTATAAACAGTAGAATGAATAAATTTTGGCATATTAATAAATATGGAATATTATTCAGCAATAAGAATGACCAAACTGCATCAACATAGATGACTCTCACAAATACTATAAGTTATGTAAAAGAAGCCAGACTCAATGTTCTATGCTTCCATTTAATTAGAGAATCTCAAAAATAAGCAAAATTAATCTGGGATGTAGAAGTGAGAAAAATAGTGATGAGGGGGGTGGGTAATGGAGAGGACAATGAGGATTCTGTAGTTTTAATAATGTTTTATTTCTTGTTCTGGGTGCAGGTTACAAGGGTTTGTTTACTTTCAGAAAATCTATTGTCATATACTTATGATTTGTGTACTTTTCTGTAAAGTTTACACAAGAAAATTAAGCCACTGTCCCTTCTTTGATAAAATTTTAAATATATTTTTAAATCACCAGCAGAATTTTGTAAATATAATTTTTTTTAAATCAGAGACTGAATAAATATACCTAGGCTGGAACCCAGCCACCTGTGACTATGAATCTCCATAAGCAATTCTGATGCATAGGCTGAACAGAAATATTAGGTCATTAGCAGAAAGAATGCTGCTTCATTTCATCATTATTATATTTCCTCTCAAAAATATTTTTGACAAAGAACATGAAATAACTCTCTTTCTTTTAGATAATTGCAATTATCTAAAAGAAAGAAAATGCCAAAATACCTACTTCCACCCACTCCCACTCCTCGAGTTTGGCTATTCCACCATTCAAAAAGCTTCCATAGATCATTAAACACTTTAATTAGTTTCATACATATGTACTTAGCTCAAAGCATCCATTAAACCACCATTCTTTTGCCACTTTGACGGGTGTTCACTAAATTATTTAAAATATGCTCTTAGATACCATAAACAGTTTAAATTAGAATAAAAAAATGGTTGCCCCAAATTGAAGAAAAAAGTTTTAAAGTCTAGCATCTACCTTGTAAATAACAGACAGATCTTAATTTGAAGGAGAAATACATGCATTGTGAAAAACTATTATTTTAAAATCATTTTTTAACCATATCTATGTTGTCTGTCTCTAGACATCTATGCAGAAGACAGAGACATGATGGAGCCAACTGTATTTAATCCACCATTTTCCCAAGATCTGTTTCATAAAATACTCAAGATATTTTTATCTCTCAGCACAAAAGTTTCATGTAAAGCATGGCTTGTGTAGTTCATTGGCTGAGCAATGACCTATGAACCAGGAGGTCACAGTCCAATTCCTGGTCAGGTCACATGCGCAGGTTGCAGGCTTAATCTCAAGTGTTGGGCAATTGATCAATTATTCTCTCTCATCTTTGATGTTTCTATCTCTCTCTCCCTTCCTCTCTGAAATCAATAAAAATATTTTTTAAAGTTTCATGGATAAAAAATAAGATCCTCCTTACTATACTACTACTGTACATCAATAAATGGTGCTTCAGAGAAGGTATTAAACAAATCAACATTGAATGAAGCCTAATTCAGTTTTTTGAAAGTGAAAGGATTAAATAAATGGTTCTCAACCTTCTGGCCCTTTAAATACAGTTCCTCATGTTGTGACCCAACCATAAAATTATTTTCGTTGCTACTTCATAACTGTAATGTTGCTACTGTTATGAATCGTAATGTAAATATCTGATATGCAGGATGGTCTTAGGCGACCCCTGTGAAAGGGTCGTTCGACCGCCAAAGGGGTCACGACCCACAGGTTGAGAACCGCTGGATTAAATGGTCAATTTAGTTGATACCCATCAGAGAGGAAAAAAGCCACCTAAACTAATTTCACAGTTGTTTGGTGTCACATAGACAAGACAGGTGGGCATCTTTTTTTTTTTTAGAATGATAAATATCCTCGAATTTAATAAGAGGGAAAAAGAAATTTTTTCTTATTTTAAAACAAATGACAAGAAAGCATTTACAGTACAAAAGCTCAAAATAAAAATTCTCTAAAACAGATGCTAATATTCATAGAAACTTAATACATAATAAAGGTATTACCACACATCAACAGAGAGAAAACTGACCACAAATAAAAAGGGTTATCGCTCTAGCCAGTTTGGCTCAGTGGGTAGAGCACTAGCAGGTGGGCATCTTTTAAATTATTTAGTGTTCTCCTATCTTCAGAGTTTACATCCCTTGATGAGGACAATTCAATATTTAATGAGTGCTTTTCAAAAGACTAAAATTTTACTTACTTGGATCTTTCTCTTGTATATGTACGTAGTTTTCCAACATGAAGGAAAAGAAATTGGATAACTGGATAAAATAAAAACACATTAATCAATGAATGAACCCCAAATAGCTACTGTAATAAATGCTATTGGTGTTTCATGTAAGTCCCCTTTAACCTTCTAGGGCACTCATCTCCCAGCTGCACTAGGTCCCATCTCTACTTGCCCACCTCCTCCCAAGGACTGCCCTTGGTAGATGAGAGGTACCTTCCCTAGAGTTGCATAGGATTTCATATATCTGTCCTCCTGGGAGGCTGCCCATAGAAAATGACTAACTGAAGCAAGGGTATTGCAGCCTAGATCCCCAGTTCCCTTGCCACTGGGTGGGATAAACCATGACGCACTTCAAAGCTCCAAATGGGATCAGGCTGAGGTCAAGCTTCTTCAGAAACCATAGTTTTGCCTAGTTTCTTGCCCTGTCCAATCTTGTTTTCCTCACTTCCTTATAGATTTTTCCTGAGAACACTCTTAGAAAATCACTTGTACCAGAATCCTTGTCTCAGATTCTGCTTTTAGGAAACCAACCTAACTCGGCTACTAAATTTTGTTCATTATGATCTCTTATTTTCCTTTTGGTAGTGAGATGAAGAGTTAAGGGATACTCTTAAATGTCAAATATATTTGGGAAATTAAATAAGGAAAGATAGAGGGAGGGAGAGATGGAAATCCACCAGCATTCCAACCATCACCATGAGGTGTGAAAGGGGTCCCAGCTGCTACCTGCCACCTCCCCCTATACCAGTGATGGCGAACCTTTTGAGCTCGGCGTGTCAGCATTTTGAAAAACCCTAACTTAACTCTGGTGCTGTGTCACATATAGAAATTTTTTGATATTTGCAACCATAGTAAAACAGAGACTTATATTTTTGATATTTATTTTATATATTTAAATGCCATTTAACAAAGAAAAATCAACCAAAAAAATGAGTTCACATGTCACCTCTGACACACGTGTCATAGGTTCGCCATCACTGACCTAGATGCTGCCTCTATGCCTACCAATTATCTGCAAAAACCTGCATTAATACAGCACAAATAACTTCTCCAAGCCCTGTCACCCATAAAGAGTGACCACTAAGGAACCTTTTCAACCTGGGAGTAGGTCTGGGAGTTCAGAGAAGGCTTTCCACACAAATATCAAAATGTGTAAGTTTAACACTGTTGATGGGTTTGTCAACAGTTAATAGAAACCACAATGAAATACCACTGCACCCACACTAGGATGGCTATAATAAAGAAGACAGATAATAACAAGTGTTGTCAAAGATGTGGCAAAATTGGACCCCTCATACACTGCTGGGGGGATGTAAATGGTGCAGCTGTTTGGGAAAACAATTTAGCAATTACTCAAAAAGTTAAACACAGAGTTACCAGATGACCCAACAATTCCACTTCTAGGTATAAACCCAAGAGAATATGTTCCCATAAAATCTTGCACACAAATATTCATAGCAGCATTATTTATAATAGCCAAAAAGTAGAAACAACTTAAATGATCTATCCACTGAGAAATGAATAAACAAAATGTGTGAAATCCATACAATGGAATATTATCCATAAAAAGGAATGAAGTACTGATATACACTACAATAAGAATGAACATTGAAGATATTATGCTAAGTGAAAGAAGTCAGACACAAAAGGATCACATTTTCTGTGATTCCATTTATATGAAATGGTGAGAAAAGGCAAACTCATAAAGACAGAAAACAGATTAGTGGTTGCCAGGAGCTGGGAAGAAGGGGAAATGGGGAGTGACTGCTAATGACTATAGATGTGTGTTTTTTTTGGGGGGGGGGTGATAAAAATGCTCTATAATTTATTGTGGTGATGGTTACAATTTTGGGTATATACTAAAGGCCATTAAATTTTACACTTTAACTGAACTGTATCTCAATAAATCTGTTATAAAAAGAGTCAATATTAAAGAATGTACTAAAACTAGAATGTGTGCATATAAAGCATACCAATTTGAGAGCTCACTCTACCTTTATACTCATTACTACATTCCACAGTGCTTAAAAGGACAGCTCACACTGTGAGCTTCTAATCAAGGCAAAGGGAAAATCTGATTGAATCATAGTATATCATTTTTATAACTGCCAAGAATAAATCCAGCAATGTCTTTGATACTTTTGGAAATTTTCTTAATTATTTTTAAAGATAATGTAATAAATTTACATATAAATATGATTGTTGAAAACTACAAACAATACAGAATGAAAATGAGAATTCCTCTCCCATCCACTCCCACTCCTGTCCCCAGAAATAATCACTGGAAACACTTCACAGCATAGCTTTTCCCAGACTTCTGCTGTATGTTTAATTTTCTTTCATATATATGGGATAAAACTCTACATTCTGTTCTACAAACTGATTTTTTTCATTAACAATAACATTGGACATCTTTCTAAGATATTTTTATTACTAAAAAGTACTTTTTTCATCAATAAGCATTAAAGTTTAATTTATATATTGTTTTTTTGCAAGCTTGAAAAAAGCCTTCCTCACCCATCTATATATTCTTCTAGAACTTTCATAGGTTCGTTCCCAGGAAATTCTTCCAGTTTTTAACACCATAAAGTGTTGTTGTTTTTTCTTCATAAAGTAACAACTTCCTACTGGGACACGTCCCCAAAAATAGAAGAAGGCCATTTTTATTAGTCAGCTAGGTATCTGGCAGCCCTCTTAAAAATGTGAACTTCAGAATTGAAAAATACCATCCTCATCCCAAATCATACGCCCTCTCTCAACAGCTAGTTCCAAGACAATGTCACTATATCTTCTATTAAAGCCTTTCACTAAGGTTTCTCAGTTTAAAATGGTCCCAACCAGTCATTCTTTCAATAACAAGGGGTAAAGAGAAGCAGTTTATCACCACCAAGCCAGCCATGCAAGAAATGCTAAAGGGACTGTTGTAAAAGAAGAAATATCAAGCTCAGAAAGAAAACAGCCACACACACACAAAAAAAAGAAATGGCTACAAACAAGTACCTTTCAATAATAACTTTAAATGTAAATGGACTAAATGCTCCAAATAAAAGACACCGAGTGGCTGAATGGATAAAAAAACATGACCCATACATCTGCTGTCTACAAGAGACCCACCTCATTGGAAAGGACTCACACAGACTGAAAGTGAAGGGATGGAAAAATATCTTTCACGCAAATGGAAAGGAAAAGAAAGCTGGGGTAGCAATACTTATATCTGACAAAATACATCTCAAAGTGAAGGCCATAACCAGAGATAAGGAAGG